TTGAAGGTAAGGACATCCTACGCACGAAATGAAAGGTAGGGATAATTTCGGAAATCCACCCCAAAGGTAGGGATGTTTTGTGTTAATTAGCCTATTATAAATATAATACTAATATATATTTTTATTTCTATATAATCACTTTAATTAACATTTCTCCTTCTAATTCTCCACTTTAATGGGCCTTTCAAAATGAGAAAGTAATATCAAACGAGAACTGACCCAAAAACTAATTTATAAATATATTAATTTTAACACCTGATTTTTTAAATGTAAAGTTTTACACCTTATTTTTGAAATGTAAAATTTAGAGGTATGAATTTCCTTAATTTTTCCTATTAAAATTTAGTGCAGCAAAAACAAAAATTGTAGTGTGAATATAATTACCCATTAATTAAAGGAAAAAAGGGTAAAATCGTCATTAGGGGATTGTGGTTGCCAAAATATTAGGTTGAAGACCTACTTGCTACATTTTCAATAGGCTGGGGGTCCGATGTGTAATTTTTCCAAACATAACCTATTATATGTTTTGCAATATTCTGCATCTTTTGAGTAATCTGAGACTAAAACTTTCATATCTCCCACTTCATTGGCTGGCAACAATTCAATAAACTTTGCAACTAATTTCATAATATTTTCAAAAAATCATTTGATAGAACGGCTTTGTAAGCTAAGGTGATTCCCTCCGTATCAGAATCATAAATTATCGAGTTTTATAATTGATGATTTCTTAATTTTGAGATTATGTATGCAGAACTTACTGTAGTCTGTACCATTCTAAGCCAAAAGAAGAGCAGCAGAAAGGAAACAAAATGAAAAGTATAAAAACAAACAGTAATTATTAGCTCAGGGAGGACAGCATTATTGTGAACAATCTGCAAAATCGAGTTCATTTGTTTGAAAATGAATGCCTAGGCGAGAGAGATCTTTGTGCAGCAAACCCACGTTCTTGAATTGAAGACCGATGAAGCCAGCATCAATAGCTGCCTCTACATTTCTCATCCTGGTGCATGTAAACCATAATACATGTCAGTGATCAACAAACAGAATGCCTCATTCTCCAGCATAACCACACTGAAGCAGCATAAAGGAATGCTCGAAGAAAATAACATCGTTTTGCATCTCTTCCAGGCAAGATGTAGGGTTGATGTAATAGATCATGCTATGCTCTTGTTACACACTTTCCTTTCACATCAAAAAAGGATTCTAACTTCATCACAATATCGAAAAAAAAAAAGTGAGCAAAACCAGCATGCACACATAGAAGTTGCTTAGTTTAAGTGACGTAACTTACAAAGCGTCAAACATCCTGTGGAGCATAAAGTTTCACATTAAAACAAAAAGAAAGTCGACAATGGTTATTAGCATAATAATTGATCAGTTCTTGCATGAGATCCATTATCCCTGCTTCATCAATCAGTAAATCCTTACTGAAAATAGTAACAGTACCTGTCATCAACAAAAACACAATTTGCCGGCTCAACCTTCAGGTGCTTCAAAACATCCAAGTAAATATCAAGATCAGGCTTTCTCTTTCCTGCATTTGCAAAGTTTAGGTCGGCTTATAGGGAACCCGGAAAAGAAAATTGTAACAGACAATGTAAAGCCTGAATTTTTGCTGCAGTGGATATAAACCAAATATAGGATAAATCCCTCAAAATAAATCCTAATTTCTTTTTCTAAAATGAGTGTCTAATACTGGTAAGTCTTCAATTTAATGTCCATGACGAAATTCATCAGGTAATTTCAACCGTTTGAAGTCTTGGTTGATGGTTCACAGAAGCACAAACTCTGCATCTCAAAACCTATCCTTGACAGTTGCAGAAGAGATGACAGTGGGTGAAAACTTACCATAATGATTGTAGATATTCACTTTAGGCAGAAGAATAAGAAACATTTTGGAAGTTATTCAGATTGAATTTCCTTATTTCTTTTCATTGTTATTAATTTTGATTTGGTAATTTTTCATTCTGTTGGTCTGGTAGCTTTCCTTTCAAGTATAATCTTCTCCCTTGTCTCTTTTCTTCTCTCTTCCCCTCCATTGTTTTCTTTCTTCTCTATGTTCTCTTTTTGTACATATTGTGCTGCATCATTGGGTTCATATTACATAGTGACATCAAGGCTGAATTAGACATCACAACTTGTGAGACTAGGAAAAAAAATCATCAGAATGATTTTGAACTCAAAAGGCGTGGAAGCAAGAGAGGGATAATAATACAGCAAACTTGGCTACAGATAATCTTGAAGGTTTGTCCATATGATCTCGAACTGAGAGAAGTAGGTCCAGAAAACAAAGCCTGTGGCATCAAGCTCTTCAAGAATCTTGAACTGAATGGACGAACACTAGGAAATCAAGCATGTCATAAGACAAATATAAATGTAACAACTTAAAAGTGCTTCAGCATCAATAACTCATTAACCATCCACAATCAAGTTCATTACAGAAGCATAGGGTCAATCAGATAAGGCATGATAGGCCTGCAGAGAAACCAAATTCCCAAACTTTGATGGCTAAGGTTCCAAGATAAGGTTCAAACGATTGTGCCATACATATTTATGAGCTGCTCGTTTTCAAATTTTGTTGACAGTTTTCACTTATTATGCCCTTGTTTGATCCCCATTATTTCCAAAATAAATTTCTCTCTTTTTTTCAACACACATTCTTCAATAAAATAATATTACATGCAAAACCAAAATGTTTTTATTTTTTAACCACACATTCTCCATCAATCTATTATTCCAAAATACATTTTTAGCCCTATATTTTTGAATAATGCTATCTAGCACCAGTGGCCATACTTGATATGTTCAATTAAATAAATCACATGACATTGCATTTAAGTGAATCTATCATTTAATGTCATGCAATTGTCACTTAGACTGCTGCTTGACACCAATTGTGCTCAATAACATTACTCTTATATTTTCAGCATTTGTTTCCTTTCTATTTTCTACAGTCTGATTATTTTTGCAACATCAATGACATGGATTGCGAAAAGAGAACAGGAGAAGAGAAAAGAAGACAGAGAACAAGTGGAACACAAAGTACAGAGAAGGTATGAAGCAATTGAAGCGAGGGACAAATGAATCAAACAAAAACGTTCTGTCAATCATTTAAGGTTGTAATCCAATAAGATGGAGATAATAACTCAACCAAAACAACAGGAACATCCTGATTTGAGATAGAATCCCTTTTAATGGAAAAATCAATAATAAAAACCCATTAAGCAGAAGCTAAATATGGAAGATAAGTTTAGCAGCTCTAAGACAAAGAACACCAGGTGCAATATAAGGACACAGAAATTACCCATTATACATGAACAGAATGTCCAGGACAAGTAAGATGATAGTTTTAGCTTGTCCTCAATTATTTTATACCTGCAAGAGAAAATTTTGAACAAGAAACTAGAGACAAATGGCTCTCCAAGGATTTTACATAGCTACGAAATAAGAATATTATACCAGATGGGGTAATTAGTGAAAGCATGCATTTCGTATCCATTTTTCTTTAAAGCTTGAAGTAATTCTTCAACTCCTTCAATATAATAATATCCTTTTCTCATACAGCTTTTGAGGCCTGCAAGGAAGAATGCTATTCATATCTCTACAATTTATATGAAAAATAAATGGGGAAAAGCACGAGGATTTACTTGATGAGAAGGCAAATGATAATTGGGCATGTTTGAACCCTCTTTTCTATCTTTTGTTTTTAACCCAAAAAAATAATAAATAAATAAAATCATTCCCTATTTTTGTTTCTCCCTTTCCATTTGTTAAATATTAAAAGTTTGGTCCATTATCAAAAATCATACACATACACACAAACTCAGAGTAAATGAAGAGAAAAAACTGAGCGAAAATGAAAATAGAATGGTCCGAGCTCAGTTTAATTTTTTTGACAAGCAGAAACTTGAGTTCATCCTAGGGTTGATTTCTGAACAAGCCTCCATTGATATGACATGATATTTTTTCCATTCATTCCCTTTCACAATCAGTCGCAGTCCTACAAACTTACTGATGATGTGGACAAATTCCTCGTTTCATCCAAATGAGTAAAAGATTCTAGTTGAACTAACAAGCTGAGTGCTCTACCATTGAGTCCAATGTCAAATGAGCTCTAGTTAAGCCAAACACAATCTCAAGCTAAGTTTCAACTAGCTTGTTTAGTTTTTCTGCCCCCTTTGGGTTTCAAAGGTAAGAGTTGGTTGCCGTCAGTAATTTTATGAAGGTGAACTGAAGTTGGTAATTGGCTGGTCGAGTCAAGAAATCGCAATTGCTTGATGATAAAAATCTAGAAATGAACCAAGTTTGGAGTTCTTACAAAAGACTATAAGACTACCATAGGTGTGCCTAGATTGGCAGTCATGATCTGATCATTTTAATGTCAAAATCCATGTTGAAACAAACAGAGCCCACTAAATATGATATGCTGGAATCAAGTTTTTGAAAAAAATAAATGAATAAAATGCTAATTTTAAAGTCTAGATGACCTTCTCACATACTCCATAAGTTTCACCAAATAATAATAATAATAATATTTTACAATCATCGTTGTGAATAGAAGCAATTCAGCAGAAAAGCATGCCTGTAGCTACAACTCAATGCTTGATCAGAATTTCATGAGAACAATAATAACGTTGCATACACAAAGACAATGCATGATCAACAAAATAAGCATAGGATTCTTTTATATCTGATAGGTAATCTATTTGTCCGGTGAGAGTTCTCACTTACCCTCCAAATCAAATGACCTTCCATCTTTGAAAAATTTTCTAGCTAGCTCCATCTGGAAAGAACTAACATTAGAAAATGAAAAATAAAATACGAAGTCAAGGAAAAATTATTCACCTGTCAGCTCAACTCAACTACATGCAATGTGTAATATGAATATATCCTTTCGCAGATTGAACAGTCCGGATACAAAAGGTGAAAATTTGAAGTACTTATTGAAGATAAATTAGTATTTCATAATAACTGTAGATGAATCTTTTAGAAGCATATGCAATTAATAGGATAAGGAGCGTCTATTGTTCTGTTCCTGGTGTTTTAACTACTATTCAAAACTTGAGCTGTTTATTCTCACTCTTTAGTAGGGGTCCGTTTTATTCTCAGAAATCAAATTTATTTAAGGGGTAGAAACACGATATGACAGAACTATCAAAGTCAAAAATTCGAGAACCTTTATGTAAGTACTGAAAGAAGCCCACCTATTCAGTGGTTTATTTAAAGGAAAGACGATGACAACATAACCAAACAAATGCTAGCAAGAGGAAGTCACAAAGTTCTCAATCTTAAGAGAGGCACAGCCGCCAGCAGACCTAATTCATCCTTTTGAAAGTTTTAAGATTTGATTCTGAAAAATATTCTGTTCATCTGCCTTATCCTACAATAAAATCCTCCTTCAAAGCATCAGTAGTGTGAAATTAACTCCATCATTGTCACTTGGGATGCTTCTACATATACATCCTTCCTTTTAATATTTTCCACAAGCCAGTGGTGCTCTCCATTGGACCAAATTTTATTGTCTCTCAGTTTACCAGGTGGACAACAAAGCTCCAGAATTATTTGGGTCCAGAGGACAAGCAAAACTAAAGAACAGTTACGATGATCAGTTGTTAGGGGATTCTAAGTCTGATCCATGAGCTTGCACCCATCAATAGCCCAACTTATAGAAATTTTTCAAACCAAGATAAGCGCACACTTATATTCTAGAATTCAGACTGCCCCAAGAATAAGGTTAGTTTGGTAATGCAACAGATCTAAATCCATTTTTCGGACTGTGCTGAAAAGCTAATCAAGAAAAAGATGCTCCACAAAATTTAACAAATAGATCATAGTCATAATTCAGTCATGTTTACTTGTAATCAATTTACGAGGCTATCAAAAATATATGCAGCAAATTATGTTGAGAAAAATTAGATCTCTAGACTTGAATGGGGGAGAAGTTATCGATAGAGCAGACTTCAAAGCCCAAAAGGTTGCCAAGTTTCTATGGGATAATATTAAAGCATTGACTTCCGAATAATAACAAAGAATGCTTCCAATATTCTCTTTGCAATTAGAATGAAAATTAGAAACCGACACAGTCAACCACACAATTAAATTTAACTAATATGAAACCAAGAAAATCGAGCATTGACTCTGTAAGGCCGATAGATGTGTACTGTACTGCCTAAAATTACAAAATTCCAATTATTGGTGAAACATCCTTTCTAAGCATGTGCCCAAATGGCAGTAGTTTCACTTATCAGAAGCTAGTAGTAAGAATTCCATCAAAATAAACATTCACAGCGTTAGTGATATACCTCATTAATAAGACCCTTTTCAAACTCTATCCAGGCAGTAGGATGCTTGCATTCTAGAAGTTCCTTCATAGACATACTGAACAAGAAATCTCAAATGCCAACAGAACAGAGAAAATTATGATCAATGTAGTTAAAGAGAAGAGGTTGTTATGCAAAAGGAAGGGAATACAGAATAAAAAGTAAAGAATTCAAGGTAGTCGGTAACAGCTATCAGAAAATAGTGAAAGGACCCAAGCTATGGATGTCCTGGCTATTCAAGCAGATCTCATGGTAGGATTGATCTACATTAGATCATGTGGTTCCCAAACTGAACTCAAGCCAAGTAAAAGGCTCATTTCAAAAGCAAGTCCCAAGTCTTAAGAGAAGATATTTAGCGAAGCAAAGTAATAAACAGGCCTACATTGATATATTCAAAATTCTAGGTATTTAGAAAAAACATTTTATTCACTCCCAGACATTTGGTCTTTCACTTAGACAGAGTTCAAGGAGAGAATAATCATCACAACACACATATAAACATTTTTAAACATAAGGATTGGAGAAATATTGAAAATTTAGAAACACAGGTTTTATGCCAAATAAATGCTTTTGTCTTTATTATTCAACTATGTCAACTTTGAATCTTTGTGATTTTGAGCCAGAGCACATGGATAATTAGGCAAAGCAAAATGGATAATTTTCTTCAGAAATGACAAAACTCGAACTGGCAAGAATAAATCCATGTCAAAATGTCACGTAAACTAAAATTTGTTTATTTGGACTTGTGGAACAATTAAACAAGGGACAGAGTCCACTCATAGAGGATGGGAGGGAGACCTGTGGCTGCTTTATTTGTAAAATATAGCTAAGAAACAACAGAGCACAAGAAATTCTCGTGTTCAAAAACAAGGGCTAAAGCTGATCCATTTCTTCACACTTTTAAGGATCATATCAGCATCGGGAATAATCTTGTCATCAAACTATTACTTGAAAAGGAAAATGGTAGAAGATCACAGCTTACTACGAAAAAGCTAGTGTCAGAAACTTAATAATCTTTCTGTTGGGGCATGATATATTTTGCCATACTCTTTAAATTGTGCACTTCTTGGTATTAACATTGTGCCTTATGTTAGCTTCATTTCCATTTATATTTTGTAAGATATCCTCATCATTGTCAGAGGATTACCATCTAAATTCACAAAACCAAAAATCAAACTGGAATTCGTTTTTCACTTGTGAGAATTCCACTACAAAGAAAACAAATGGTGTGCCTAAATTTCAAAATTCAAGGGAAACAACTCAATGTAGAGGTGTGCCTTATGTTAGCTTCACTTCCATTTATATTTTTTTAAGATATCCTCCTCATTGTCTGAGGATTACCATTTAGGCGTTTAAATTCCCAAACTAAAATCAAATTGGAATTCCTTTTTTACCTGTAAGAATTCCACTTCAAAGAAAACATGCTGTTTGCATAAATTTCAGAATTCAGGGGAAACAACTTAATGTAAAGGTGAACATTTTCCAGCTAAATCAATAACCGCTCTTACATTGATTAATTGAGAAACATATTCCAGTGGAAAACAACCGGAACAATTTCTTATTAACAAAAGCATTAATAACCAACTAATAGAGATCAATGCACTCAACAAAGAACCAATTTTTAAAAAAAATGAGTTTGATAAAGAGAAATACCCGAAGAAGGCGGGGATATCGTGATAAAAAGGGTCTCGGACGATGGTGTCCATGACATCGAATAGCAGTATCGGCAACTTCCTTGTTTTTGTATTGTTCTTATCGTTACTGTCGTCAAGGGAGGTGATAGTGGCACCGCTTTTCAAAGGCATCATCTTGGTAGAACTTCTGAATGCTAATGGTGGTTGTATAGGTGGTAATTTCAAGATCGGAAAGGTGCTGAATGAGGGAGGCGTATATCTACAAGCAACCATGGATTGAGCCATTTGCAGCAGCTGCTGATTGTATTGTACTGAAAGTGGATGACATTTGTGACAATCCAAGTTGACTACAATTTGAGATCCCCGTTTTGCCCTCGTTATTGCCTGTAATTTGGTATTATAATTTTTGAAATAGTATAGTATTCTTTTAAAAAAAAATATGTAATTGAGAAAGAAGAAAAAATTATTATTTTATAAAAGATTGAGCAGTTGAAAATAAAAGGGAGAAAAATTATAGCGTGGCGCCAAATGGGGAACTTCGATTTTTGGTGCACTTGAATCCTTTCGCACCCAATGTCTCGTTAAATAGTCCCGAGGGATTGTATCGACCTCTTCTTTTAAGGGCATTTTAGTCAATCATCCACATGAGACGGCCACTGGGCCCAAGCATACTTCATCATGTCATTCAAAGGTTAAGTAAGCGTTTTTGGCTTCTATCATTGCATTCTTTAAAATCCACTTTGGATATTGCATTATTCGACTGCTTTATTCAATATTATTCTTCACGTCATTTTCGATAATCGTTTATGTATTATTTTGATGTACAAGTAGCAAAAATCATTTTGAATGTTGCTACATATACATCAAAAATTACATAAGTAATTATATAATACCACATGAAACTCTATTATTTGTCAGTTTAAAGCGTAATCAACTTTTTCATTCAATTTTTTTCCTTCATGTCATTTTTGGTAACCGCTTATGTACCATTTTGATGTAATCCCTTTATTTTATCGTTATTGACTAAATTTTAGTCCTTGTTTGACCTCCATTTTAATTAGATTTTGGGAAAAATGAATTTTCGAATAGTAATTTTTTAGAGAATGTGTGATTAAAAAAGAAATAAATTTTTTTATTAAGTGTAATATTATTTTATTAGAGAATATGTGATTGATAAATGAATTATAATTTTAATAGAACCCAAACAGGGGCTTAGTAAGATTAAGTTGATACCAAACAATTGATCGAACACTCAAAAAAGGGGGGCTCGCTTTTTCTTTCTTTTTTTTTTCTTGAAATTTTTTAATCACGTGGACCCCGCATA